GAGCAGCACCTACAGTCAATGGAGGACAGAGCAAAACTGGTAATCACCGTATATACATGTAGCTCCAAATTATTGTCAGTCAAAATTTTGTCAAAATCTTAATTTCATGTTAAAATTAATTTTTGTCATTTTTTATTAATCTGCATACTACCCACGTGGAACAAAATCTTGTCAGTTAAAAATTTTGCCACACAAAAATACCTGATGAATTTGACGAAAATTTTGACCCATGAAAATTTGGAGCTATACTGTAAGGGATTAAGGGTAACTGGCATTTTATTTTATGTATCTTTTTTTAATTTTATGTATCATTTTCAGGATGGGTTGTATGAGTGTATATTATGTGCCTGTTGCTCCACCTCCTGCCCCTCCTACTGGTGGAACCCTGACAAGTATCTTGGACCAGCTGTACTGATGCAGGCATACAGATGGATGATAGACAGCAGGGTGAGTGAGTGAGAGAGAGAGAGGAGAGAGGGAGAGAGAGAAAAAATATTTTAAGATAAAAAGGAAGCATTCTTGTTGTATTATCAACTGGTTCTCTCTATCTCCCATTGAAGTAGGAAAATTAGCGTTATCAATGGTAGTGTTTAGGATGTATAGTATTTTTAAAGTCTTTAAAAAATCTGTAAAATTTATTATCCTTGAAAAAGCCATACAGTACATGTACATGTAGATGTGATTATTATTTATTTTATTTTAAAGGATGAATATCGCTCAGAGAGACTAGCTAAAATATCGGATCCTTTTTCAGTCTTTCGCTGTCACACCATCATGAACTGTACAAAGACCTGCCCTAAAGTGAGCCACGCCCACAAACTTTGACCACGCCCATCACAATAAGGAGTAGTACATTTATTATTACTTAATATTGTTGTTGTTGTTGTTAAAAATTTCCAGGAAAAAATTAGATTATAGATTTCCCAGAAAAAAATTTCCTGGCAAATTTCCCATGAAAAATAAATATTCCCAGCAAATTTCCTGGCTAAATTAATTATTTTTTTAGGGTCTTAATCCTGGACGTGCTATTGCAGAGATAAAGAAAATGCTAGCAACAGCAAGTTAAAAGACTTATAAAGATTACAGAAATACAACTACAGTACAGTATTATTAGTTAATATATCTGTATATTGGTATTAATATTACTATTTTCATGTATTCATTACTATTAATATTTATAATGAGTAATTAATTAGTTTAATGTGTTATGTTCAGATAACTACAGGCTGAAAAATTGTTCAATAAATTTTATTTAAAAGTATAAATTGCATTGGCTCAAAGTTCTAGCTCAGACTAGCTGCCAGTGACGTTATAAATAATTGAAGTTTTGATGTGTTATTACTTATCATCAATGTTGAAATTGACATTGAATTGAATTGAAATTGTTGATTAGCAATGTTTATCTTGCGGAGTTATGTACCCATGTAACTAACTACCCATAACTACCTCCAGACAGGGAGGTACCCTATACTAATGGAATTTGTTATTTCTATAGAAATATGCATAGGGCATACATTATATAATTGTTAGCTAAAGGAAGTTTTCTTAAAAGAGCTAACTTAACAAGTCACGATCAGTCTTGTTTGTTCAAACTTGGAAAGATGGAAAGAAATTATACTTTTACTGGTGATTTCAGTCCTGAGGCAGTAGCAGCAATTTTTAGTATTGAGATGATACTAGCTCTCATAGCTAATGGTGTTGTACTAGTCATTACTATTTATCAAAGGAAGTCCTGGAAACAATCATCAACAATATTCTTTACTTCTCTCATACTGGCACACCTTTTAATAATATTGGTTCTTCCTTTCTCTATCACTGCATTAGCTGCTGGTGAGTGGATCATTGGTAGTACTGATGAGGAGAGGAAAGGAACCTGTGATGTCAGTGCTTACATATTGCTTTATAGTGGTAATATCATGTACATCACATTAAGTCTTATATCAATTGATCGGTTTCTTTTTATTGTGAAGCCTCATCTCCACAAGCGGTTCATGAGTCCAAGGGTAGCTCTGGTCCTTGTCATTATTGTGTGGATAGCCACTGCTCTCTTTTTCTCTTCAGGATTCATCAATGGATCTGGTACAGTATTTGAATATATAAATGATATAGGAGCTTGTTATGCGTATTCAGCCAGTCCTATAATGGCTGCTATTCGTTTTTCAATAATAATTATTCTATTGTCTATCATTATTATTACATCAGTTTGGACGTTTTGTTTCACTCGTAAGTTTATTAATAATCAGTCAATGATAGTAGGAGAGAGTGTCTATGCTTCAAAGAAGAAGAGGCTGTTTGGGATATTTGGATCAATGCTATTAGTATATGGAATTTGTTTTGCTCCTGCTACATTTCTGTCTCCATTTTTTGCAATTATTGATGCTCCTGTTGAACTCAACATCACTGCTCTTGTATTATATCTTTTCGCCTTTATCCTAAGTCCAGTTGTTCAGTCATACTTTAGGCCAGAGATCAACAGTGTCATAGTTAATATCATTTGTCGTAAGATGAGGAAAAAACTTAATCGAACTACACCAAGTAATGCAAGTAAAACAAATACTAATTCATTTGATTTATGAAACTTTTAAACTGATGACACTGTACTACATTATACACTGTACATGCATACTATAATGACTTTTCTTTAATGCTGTATGACATTGTCTTTATGCTACCTATATTATTGCCCATTACTATTAACAAAGATGCATAAAAGATGTATATGTATCTCATGCTCTAGCTGCTGGTGAGTGGATCATTGGTGATACTGATAAGGAGAAGAAAGGAACCTGTGGTTTCAATGGTTTCATGATACTTTATTGTGCTTATAACATGCTCATGACTCTAAGTCTCATATCAATCGATCGGTTCCTTTTTATTGTAAAGCCTCATCTCCACAAGCGGTTCATGAGTCCAAGGGTAGCTCTGGTCCTTGTCATTATTGTGTTGATAGTCACTGCTGTCCTTCTCTCTTCAGGATTCATCAATGGATCTGGTATTGTATACCAGTATATAGATAGTCAAGGACTCTGCTATGCAAACACTACCAGTCCTATAATGGCTGCTACTTGTTTTTCAATGACAATGATTCTATTGTCCATCATTGTTGTCACTTCAATTTGGACGTTTTGTTTCACTCGTAAGTTTATAAAGATAAAAAAATACAAGCAACAGCAAGTTAAGACTTATAAAGATTACAGAAATACAACTACAGTACAGTATTATTAGCTAATATATCTATGTTGGTATAAATTACTATTTTCATGTATTCATTACTATTAATATTTATAGTGAGTAATTGGTTTAATGTGTATGGGTAAACTACAGGATAGGGGATTGTTTATTTATTTAAAAGTGTAAAGTTATAAACTGCATTGGCTCAAAGTTCTAGCTGCCTGTGATGTTTAAAATAATTGAAGTTTGTTGTGTTACTAGCAATGTTGAAGCCATGATGATTTTTTTGGAAAAATTTGCAACTGATAATTAGCAAATCTTCACTTTACAAGCAGTACATGAGTCAGTCTCAATGCAATACTAAATGTAATGGAGATTAGAGGAGGTAAACAGCTCTGTTATAATTAATTTCATAGAATTTTGAACTGATTCCTATTTTTTATCACAACTAGTGCATCTGACCACAGTCATGCACTGTCTTTTAAACTAAATCTTTGTCCTTTTATCTAAATCTGATCTTTTCATATTTCTCATTGTTTACTTTATCAATGCATGTTAGATCTACATATGTTTTATTCTAGTATCATAATTATTACTCTAAGCATAGTTTTAATACCTATTCTTGCATCTATAGCTAAATAAGCTAATTTCTCTAGGTCTAGATATAATTATTGTCACTTGATTGTTGGGTGGTTAGAGCCATTGTGTATCCATCTGCTCACCAATGAGTCATTGTGTATCATTAATAGAATTTGTTATTTCTATAGAAATATGCATAGGGCATACATTATATAACAGTTTACTAAAAGAAATTTTCTTAAGAGACTGAGCTAACTTAATTAATAATTCACGATCAGTCTTGTTTGTTCAAACTGCGAAAGATGGAAAGGAATTATACTTTTACTGGTGATTTCAGTCCTGAGGCAGTAGCAGCAGTTCTTAGTATTGAGATGATACTAGCTCTCATAGCTAATGGCGTTGTACTAGTCATTACTATTTATCAAAGGAAGTCCTGGAAACAATCATCAACAATATTCTTTACTTCTCTCATACTAGCACACCTTACATTGACACTCTATCTTCCTTTCTCCATTGCTGCATTAGCTGCTCGTGAGTGGATCATTGGTGATACTGATGAGGAGAAGAAAGCAACCTGTGATTTCAATGGTTTCATGATACTTTATTGTGCTTATAACATGCTCATGACTTTAAGTCTCATATCAATCGATCGGTTCCTTTTTATTGTAAAGCCTCATCTCCACAAGCGGTTCATGAGTCCAAGGATAGCTCTGGTCCTTGTCAATATTGTGTGGATAGTCAATGCTGCCTTTTTCTCTTCAGGATTCATCAATGGATCCGGTATGGTATACCAGTACATAGATAATGTAGGACTCTGCTATGCATTTACTACCAGTCCTATAATGGCCGGTACTCGGTTTTCAATGATAATGATTCTATTGTGTATCATTATTATTACTTCAATTTGGACATTTTGTTTCACTCGTAAGTTTATTAATAATCAGTCAATGATAGTAGGAGAGAGTGTCTATGCTTCAAAGAAGAAGAGGTTGTTTGGGATATTTGGGTCAATGATACTGGTCTATGGGATATGCTTCGCTCCTGCTACATTTCTGTCCTCATTTTTAGCCATTATTGATTCTCCTAATCAGCTCATCATTTCTGCTGTTATACTGTTCTTCTTGGCCATTATCCTGAGTCCAGTTGTTCAGTCCTACTTCAGGCCAGAGATCAACAGTGTCATTGTTAATATCATTTGTCATAAGATGAAGCATAAACCTGGTCATAATTTAACAGTCAAGCGTGATGCTTCATGCACAAATACTGCTTCCTTTGATTTCTAAAAATTATTTTTTGACACCTTGTTAGTACCTCAAGGTGAGAGCAAGATGCATTGTGAAATTGTATTTTTTTAATTGTAAAAAACGAATTTTTATAAAGCAATTAATTTATACAATTCAAAAACAATATAAACAGTTAAGCATGATATATCATGCACAAATGGTTTGTATCTTAATTTAATTTTTTTTAATTATTTTTTGACACCTTTTTTACACTTCAATGTGCAATATGTAAGTGTGAAAAAGGAATTGTATTTTTAATTATAAATATTGTTTTTTAATTTGATTATACCTGTGTTCCTGCTGAATATGACAGCAGTTGGAGTAACTTTGTGTGGAACATTTACCAATTGAAGATGAGGTAGTCGTTGCCACCATTTTTTCATTCCTTCATGTTTGTATGATAATTTTTTTACTTTTTCAATGGTTGTATTGAAATTTCAAACAATTTTGACAATTTGCCTTATTTTGTGAAAGTACAACATTTTACATTTTTACTGCCCATTCATGCAAAAAAAGATAAAGAACTTCAAAGTTTTGCTTGGAACATTTGTTGTCTAAAGGTGAAGTAATTTTAGCCATTATTATTATAAAACAATTTAACAATAGAGAATGTAACACATAGATAACATTATAATGAGAATGTAGTTGGAAAGACCTAGAGAACAATACAATCATGCTTTGGATTATATTCTTCATGCAGTGGTGTAGGATTTTTTTTATCACACCAGTTTGCACTACCCTCTTGTTTCTTTACTTTTTTCCAATTCAATCCTGCTACTTTTCATTTTTAGTAACTAATGATTATGCAAATACTGCAGGTTTAATTAGCCCACCCCACCACGTGTTGACCATGTTCCTTCTGATGCTACTGTTAGTATTTCTTCTCCCTCATCCTCTAGCTGCTACTCTGAGTTGTCCCGAGCTAGTACACAATGAAGTTAATGGTAGTTATGTCACTGAACTAAAAGACAGGTCCTGTCCTTCCTCATCTACACCTTGCACTCAACATAGAATGGACTGTCAGTCAAATGCTCTGCGTCTCTTCTTGTGTTTCAGGAAATACCTCAGGAGCCCTGGGAGTCCGTTACATGATAGGCTGCTGTAATTCATCATCATGTGTCGGTCCTTCTGATTTCTTTGATGACATTAATGTCAATATTAGTACTTGGCCTCTTTTGCAGCGAGCTCCCATACTAACTTCAAGTACAATAAAACCAACTGGAGTCTCAGCCTCTGGCACCGTCTCTATCGATGGAGGGAGCAGCTCATTCCTAGCATGTTCCACCTGCAGTCCTTCAGTTACTAACAAGAAGTTTGACTACAAACCTTGTAAAAGCTATAGAGTCACCTTCTCCCTCTTGTTAAAACCTGTTACTAATGACATGTGCACCCTCTCTCTCTCTCTGTAGACTATGATATTCAGTCCAATTATTTTCGTAGAGATATTCTTAATATTCCTATTCTCAATATTATGGATAAGGAAGTGCAGGAGAGTTTGTTTAAGAGTGAAGCAAGAACAAGCCAGCAAGAAACAAGATGAGTGTATTTTTTAATTACGAAACCGCAGGGGGACCTGTCCCTACTGAGCAACAGGCAGTGCAATGAACCCCACATCCTTATCATTTAATCACTTATAATAATTTATATTATTTTTGTGTTATTTCCATTCATTTATTACCTCCCATTATTCATTTATTCATTTTTTATTGCAAAAAATAAATTAATTAAAATAACTGATTTATCTCCAGCACACGTTTCAATAAAAACAAAATGGAGTGTCTCTTAATAACTATTATTAACTAGAGAAGAATGAGAAAGACTCAATACCAAAAGTATAGGTCTGCAAAAATAATAATAATAATGATAAAAACTACAGGCTAATTATCATCATTATAAATTACATGTAGATTATTAATAACTACTAATAACTATAAATAATGTCAACCATGGTACTTGCATGGTACCTGCATGGTACCGGGGTACCAATAACTAGTTATTAATAACCAGTTATTAAAATCAAAAATGCATAGTTGATGACATGTTAGTCATCGGATTCCGTATACGTATATATATATACGTATCCTATAGTAACGCTCCTCCCCTATTTGCATTACCACGGTTACTAAAGCTCCATATGCTTGACAGAGAGTTGTCAAAAGGATCATAATTATCTCTTGAAGAGAAGAGAGGAGGAGGGGAAGAGGGAGCAGCCGCTAGTTGGGTAGCTGTTTGGAGCAGCTACTCCTCAAGAGCATTGGACCATGATTGGACAATGGAGAGTTGAGGGATCACCGGATCAGAGACGCTGACAAGTACTAGTGTCACTAGAATCAGGGCCAAACCTCGTCAATAAGTCCTAAATACAACATAATGTAATACATCATCAGGGAATGCATTAAAATGTAGAATTCTCTACTTTTCATTTTCGGCAAAATTTGGCCCAATTTTGGAGCAACTTTAAAAATTCGTAAAAATTTTTTATTTTAATCAGAATCAGCTCAAACTTTTTACACAACATAAGAACATGTATATGTATCAGCGAATGTTATAAAAAAACTCTCTACTTTTTATTTTTGGCAAAATTTGCCCGAGACCGTGTACTAAAAATTTAAAAAAAAACAAGATGAAGTAGGATTCCGAACGACCAATGAAAATACAAAATGAAAATCCTACTCTCATGACGCAAATTATAGTCTAAATTGTATTTTCAATATGGGACATTGTATCATCATATACCTACCTGTCTGGAGGTGATGGGTAGTTAGTTACATGGGTACAAAACTCCCACGAAATATGTGGTTGAGGGTCGTCCTCATCCATTTATCTCATGGGAGTTATGTACTCATGTAACTACCCATGCACCTCCAGACAGAGAGGTACCCTACACTAATAGAATTTGTTATTTCTATAGAAATATCCAAAGGGCATACACTATAATTGTTTGCTAAAGGAAGTTTTCTTAAGAGAGCTAACTCAATAAGTCACGATCAGTCTTGTTTGTTCAAACTTGGAAAGATGGAAAGGAATTATACTTTCACTGGAGATTTCAGTCCGGAGGCAGTAGCAGAAGTTCTTAGTATTGAGATGATACTAGCTCTCATAGCTAATGGTGTTGTACTAGTCATTACTATTTATCAAAGGAAGTCCTGGAAACAATCATCAACAATATCTTGTTATTAGCAATGTTGAAATTGACATTGAATTGAATTGAAATTGTTGACTAGCAATGTTTATAGTGTTAATGTGTGAAATAGTATATTCCTGTATACCAAAGAAGTATACTGATGTAAACTATACGCTGTGATGTAGCAGGCTACTATAGGTGCGTAGGACACTCTCCCTAATATTATGTACTCTTGTTATTATCAATGTTGAAATTGACATTGAATTGAATTGAAATTGTTGATTAGCAATGTTTATCTTGTGGGAGTTATGTACCCATGTAACTAACTACCCATAACTACCTCCAGACAGGTACCCTACACTAATAGAATTTGTTATTTCTATAGAAATATCCAAAGGGCATACAATATAATTGTTTGCTAAAGGAAGTTTTCTTAAGAGAGCTAACTCAATAAGTCACAATCAGTCTTGTTTGAATGTTCAAACTGCGAAAGATGGAAAGGAATTATACTTTCACTGGAGATTTCAGTCCTGAGGCAGTAGCAGGAGTTCTTAGTATTGAGATGATACTAGCTCTCATAGCTAATGGTGTTGTACTAGTCATTACTATTTATCAAAGGAAGTCCTGGAAACAATCATCAACAATATTCTTTACTTCTCTCATACTGGCACACCTTGTATTGACACTCTATCTTCCTTTCTCCATTGCTGCATTAGCTGCTCGTGAATGGATCATTGGTAGTACTGATGAGGAGAAGCAAGGAACCTGTGATTTCATTGGTTTTATTGTACAATTTAGTGCTTATGTCATGTACATGACTCTAAGTCTCATATCAATCGATCGGTTCCTTTTTATTGTAAAGCCTCATCTCCACAAGCGGTTCATGAGTCCAAGGGTAGCTCTGGTCCTTGTCATTATTGTGTGGATAGTTAATGCTGTCTTTTTCTCTTCAGGATTTATCAATGGATCTGGTATCTGGTATTAGTACATAGATAATCTAGGACTCTGCTTTGCAAACACTACCAGTCCTATAATGGCTGCTACTCGTTTTTCAATGACAATGATTATATTATGTATCATTATTATCACTTCAGTTTGGACGTTTTGTTTCACTCGTAAGTTTATTAATAATCAGTCAATGATAGTAGGAGAGAGTGTCTATGCTTCAAAGAAGAAGAGGTTGTTTGGGATATTTGGATCAATGATACTGGTCTATGGAATATGCTTTACTCCTGCTACATTTCTGGCCGCGTTTTTAGTGATTATTGGTCCTCCTAATCAGCTCATCATTTCTGCTCTTATACTGTTTTTCCTGGCCATTATCCTCAGTCCAGTTGTTCAGTCATACTTCAGGCCAGAAATTAATAGTGTTATTGTTAATATCATTTGTGATAAGATTGTGCATAAACCTGATCATAATTTAACAGTCAAGCATGATTCATCATGCACAAATACTGTTTCCTTTGATTCCTAAAATTTATTATTTTTTGACACTTTGTTAGCACCTCAAGGTGTGAATGCAAGAGTGAACAAGAATATTTTTATTAATTTGTAAAATTGTATTTTTTAAATTGTAAAATTGTATTATTATAAAGCGATAATTTTTTACAATTCAAAAAAAACTATATAATCAACTAGTTCTCTCTATCTACCATGGAGCCATTGGAGCAGAAAAATAGAGTATACTGTATGGTAGTGTTTTGGATGTGATTCCTAATTTCCATCTTTACTAGTGCATCAGACCATAGTCACTATTTTTTAAACTACATCTTTGTCCTCTTGAGACTATGTCCATTTATACAAGTACTAACATGAGACTTGATTCAATCTGAATTGAATCTTATTCAAATTGTTTCTATATTTCACATTACATGTATGCATCTTAGATCTACATCTATTTTATTTTAGCCTAAGTCAATATTAGAGATGATACTTTAAGTATAGTCTACCTATTCTTGCATCTATTGCTAAATAAGCTAATTTCTCTAGATCTATAGATATAATTATTGTCACTTGATTGTTTGGTGGTTAGAACAAATGGGAGCCATTGTGTATCCATTGTGTATCATTAACAGAATTTGTTATTTCTATAGAAATGTGCATAGGGCATACATTATAATATTATATTAGTTTGCTAAAGGAAGTTTTCTTAAGAGATTTAATTTAATTAATAAGTCACGATCAGTCTTGTTTGTTCAAACTTGAAAGATGGAAAGGAATTATACTTTTACTGGTGATTTCAGTCCTGAGGCAGTAGCAGGAGTTCTTAGTATTGAGATGATACTAGCTCTCATAGCTAATGGTGTTGTACTAGTCATTACTATTTATCAAAGAAAGTCCTGGAAACAATCATCAACAATATTCTTTACTTCTCTCATTCTGGCACACCTTGTATTGACACTCTATCTTCCTTTCTCCATTGCTACATTAGCTGCTGGTGAGTGGATCATTGGTAGTACTGATGAGGAGAAGAAAGGAACATGTAATTTCAATGGTTTCATTGTGCTCTTTAGTGCTTATGTCATGTTTATGACATTAAGTCTTATATCAATCGATCGGTTCCTTTTTATCGTAAAGCCTCATCTCCACAAGCGGTTCATGAGTCCAAGGGTAGCTCTGGTCCTTGTCATTATTGTGTGGATAGTCAATGCTGTCTTTTTTTCTTCAGGATTCATCAATGGATCTGGTATGGTATACCAGTACATAGATAGTCAAGGACTCTGCTTTGCAAACACTACCAGTCCTATAATGGCTGCTACTCGTTTTTCAATGGCAATGATTCTATTGTGTATCATTGTAGTTACTTCAGTTTGTACATTTTGTTTCACTCGTAAGTTTATTAATAATCAGTCAATGATAGTAGGAGAGAGTGTCTATGCTTCAAAAAAGAAAAGGTTGTTTGGGATATTTGGCTCAATGCTACTGATCTATGGGATATGCTTTGCTCCTGGTACATTTCTGTCCTCGTTTTTAGCCATTATTGATCCTCCTAATCAGCTCATCATTTCTGCTGTTATACTGTTTTTCCTGGCCATTATCCTCAGTCCAGTTGTTCAGTCATACTTCAGGCCAGAGATCAACAGTGTCATTGTTAATATCATTTGTCATAAGATTATGGATAAACCTGATCATAATTTAACAGTCAAGCATGATTCATCATGCACAAATACTGTTTCCTTTGATTCCTAAAATTTATTATTTTTTGACACTTTGTTAGCAGCTCAAGGTGAGAATGTAAATGTGAACAAATATCAAAGAAATTGTATTTTTAATTTTTTATTGTATTGTAAAGTTGTATCTTTTTAAATTGTAAGATTGTATTTTTATAAAGCAATTAATTTATACAATTCAAAAAACAACATAAACAGTTAAGGATGATATATTATGCACAAATGCTTCCTTTGAATTAAAAAAAAATTTTTTGACACCTTAGTTGTAAACACTTCAAGGTGTGAATGTAAGTGTGAGAAAGAAGTTCTTCTACTGGTGGAATCCTGACAAGTACTGTACTGATGCAGGCATACAGATGGATGATAGACAGCAGCCTGGATGAGTGAGAGAAAGAGAATGAGAGAGAAAAGTAGTTTAAGATAAAAAGGAAGCGTTCTTGTTGTGTTAAATTATCAACTAGTTCTCTCTATCTCCCATTGCCCCATTGGAGCCATTGGAGCAGAAAAATTAATATTTTCAAAAAATAAATCTGATCTTCAGTCTTCCGATGTATGAAAATCACAGAAAGCAACTATTCTTAGTTATTGTTTGTGAGGCATGAGATCACACCCATAATATGCTACTATGTTAAAGGGTTGGGTCTGTTTGTTTAACCTTAGAGCATTACTTTGTTATGTTATCTACATGTAAATATATGGATGCCCATAAATGATTAGTAAAATCTGTCAGTGAGAGTTCTAGGCTCGCCTGTCTAATAGATGATGCAAATCATGCAATGATGCTGAGTTGCTGCAGTGACCTATTGGATTTTATAGTTGTGCACTATAAGCACTTGAACTGATTGTTTGTTGTTTATTGCAATAGGCTGGATATGAATTGTAATCACAGCATCTATCATCAATCAATATAAAGCTAAACAATAGATAGCTGATGCAATCATGCAATGTCTGCAGTGACTTCATAATAAAAGCTACATGAATGTACTTTTACTGCATGTGTGTCTCAGTGTATGTGTGTGTGTGTCAACAATGCATTCATGGCATGGGATTGTTTTTAGCAAGAGCAGTGCAAATATAATTTATGCAGCAAGAAATAAAATTTAACTTTTGTGTCACAACTCAGTCCTTCACTTCAGCCTTCATTGTTCATAACCGAATATTTTCCACATTTTTTCCCTTTCTTTAGAATAATAGGTACAATTATAGCAACCATTGCAGTGATGCAAGTAACAACATTAAGAGCGATTGATACTTTTCCATAAGTTGTCAGTTCGGCACATGGCTCACAATAGCAAGTTGGCTCTTTATAATGTATGTTCCCATTTCTCACAACACTGGCTGTCATCGTCTCATTACTACAATTCATGAATTGCAGAGAAACATAGTCTATTTCAACCCCATACTCATCTGCAACTTGAGCAGTGATTGTTATGTTGTAGACTCCTTTACCAATATCAATTGTGTCTCCAATCGGGCCAGTAGGTAGAAACTTATTCCAGAGTAATCCATTGAGGCTATGGGGCCTGGTCACAACTTTTCCTATCATTCCAAATCCATCTAATTCCAAAGTAAAGACATCAGATAAACCGTCGTTACTGTACTGCAGGTTTTGTACTTGCATTGCACACTCTTCCTCCTCCTTCCCAGTTAGTTTGAATATCATTGTTATTGTTCCTCCTTGTTTTAAAAATACAGCTAAGCCGTTTATAGCACCGCTCCTGTAGTTTATGCTTGCACTAGAACTAGCCCCATCTTCTGCTTGTATAGTTAAATCAAAATCAGCATTTGCAGATAAAAAGGTTCCAAGCAAAATTATACTTGAAAAAAACATTGCTAGCTCTGCCTCTGGTTATACTTCAGATTAAAATCAAAAATTTAGAAATGTGTTGAGGAAGTTTTTGTCCCTCAGTTATATACTCAAAGCTGAACCATTATTCATAGATATTTTTGTGGGTGTGGCTAGTTATTAATGAGATAGATATTTATTAGATATTTCCTTTAAACTCTGTAAAACACATTTTCAAGGGACATCATTTACTCACTTCTGTTCAGTAATAGTTTGGTTCATTTGGTTTGATTCCATCTTATTTTCTCCTTGTTTACTTCTTTTTTCTTTTCAATTCCAGAGTCTGATCTTGTTCAAATTTTTCATATGTTAGATTAACATTTATCTCATTCTAACCTAAGCCCATTACTTAAAGCAAGAGTATAGTTGCATCTAGATTATAGATTTAGAATTGTCACTTAATTGTTGGGTGGTTAGAACAAATGGGAGCCATTGTGTATCATCATTCATTGAATAAAATTTGTTATTTCTATAGAAATGTGCAAAGGGCATACAATATCTTGATATAATGGTTCGCTAAAAGAAGTTTTCTTATGAGAGTTAACTTAATTATATAAGTCATGATCTGTTTTGTTTGTTCAAACTTGGAAAGATGGAAAGGAATTATACTTTTACTGGTGATTTCAGTCCGGAGGCAGTAGCAGGAGTTCTTAGTATTGAGATGATACTAGCTCTCATAGCTAATGGTGTTGTACTAGTCATTACTATTTATCAAAGGAAGTCCTGGAAACAATCATCAACAATATTCTTTACTTCTCTCATACTGGCACACCTTGTATTGACACTCTATCTTCCTTTCTCCATTGCTGCATTAGCTGCTCATAAGTGGATCATTGGTAGTACTGATGAGGAGAAGAAAGGAACTTGTGATTTTAATGGTTTTGTAATACTATTTAGTGCTTATGTCATGTTTATGACACTGAGTCTCATATCAATCGATCGGTTCCTTTTTATTGTAAAACCTCATCTCCACAAGGGGTTCATGAGTCCAAGGGTAGCTCTGGTCCTTGTGATTATTGTGTGGATAGTCAATGCTGTCTTTTTCTCTTCAGGATTCATCAATGGATCTGGTATGGTATACCAGTATATAGATAGTCAAGGACTCTGCTATGCAAACACTACCAGTCCTATAATGGCTGCTACTCGTTTTTCAATGGCAATGATTCTATTGTTCATCATTATTATTACTTCAGTTTGGACATTTTGTTTCACTCGTAAGTTTATTAATAATCAGTCAATGATAGTAGGAGAGAGTGTCTATGCTACAAAGAAGAAGAGGTTGTTTGGGATATTTGGATCAATGATACTAGTCTAT